TTCCAGGATCCCAAACAGCCCGTAGACAACCTCCTGAGAGACGACCTCCAGCCGTGGCTGAGCTGCCCCCGAGACCGCAGCCGCCAGCTCAAAGTGGAGCTGCAGTTGGAGCGAGCTCGCCATATCGCCTACATAGACGTGGGTGAGTCACCGGGGGAGGGGCAGACCATGTTCCTGAAGAGGTCCCCCCACCCAAACATGATACTTGGTGGATGCTGGAGAGTGAAACCCCCATCCATGTTCCCGGGTCTGTACACCCGCTGTGCCCATTATGAGGGGCTCCCACCATCCCTGTGCTGAGTTCCCGGGTCTCTACACCCGCTGTGCCCATTATGAGGAGCTCCCACCATCCCTGTGCTGAGTTCCCGGGTCTGTACACCCGCTGAGCCCATTATGAGGAGCTCCCACCATCCCTGTGCTGAGTTCCCGGGTCTGTACACCCGCTGTGCCCATTATGAGGGGCCCCCACCATCCCTGTGCTGAGTTCCCGGGTCTGTACACCCGCTGTGCCCATTATGAGGGGCCCCCACCATCCCTGTGCTGAGTTCCCGGGTCTGTACACCCGCTGTGCCCATTATGAGGGGCCCCCACCATCCCTGTGCTGAGTTCCCGGGTCTGTACACCCGCTGTGCCCATTATGAGGGGCCCCCACCATCCCTGTGCTGAGTTCCCGGGTCTCTACACCCGCTGTGCCCATTATGAGGGGTCCCCCCATCCCTGTGCTGAGTTCCCGGGTCTGTACCCCCGCTGTGCCCATTATGAGGGGCTCCCACCATCCCTGTGCTGAGTTCCTGGGTCTGTACCCCCGCTGTGCCCATTATGGGGGGCCCCACCATCCCTGTGCTGAGTTCCCGGGTCTGTACACCCGCTGTGCCCATTATGAGGAGCTCCCACCATCCCTGTGCTGAGTTCCCGGGTCTGTACACCCGCTGTGCCCATTATGAGGAGCTCCCGCCATCCCTGTGCTGAGTTCCCGGGTCTGTACTTTGGCTTACATGGGATATTTTGTAATGGGAGGAGCTGAAAACAAATGTGGGCAGGGACACCCAATGGGTATATGACACCCTATATGGGCAGGAGCGCACAAATGTGGGCGGGGACACCCAAGACTCATGTGACCTCCCATCCATCATGTTCATACATTGGGCCCCTGGGTCCCCTCTCCGTGTCCCCCAGCTCTAGGAATGTCACGTCTTCTGTTGCAGGAAACAGCGGTTCGGCCTTCCTGCAGATTGACGTCGGGCGCTCCAGCTGGCCTCTGGATAAAGCGTTCGTCCCTCTGCTCCCTACAGCCACCCTGATGTCCCCGGCGGACTCTAAACTGGAGCAGAATGGCCGGGGGGTCCGGATGTTCAAAGAAGGTAAAATGGACCAGGAAGAGAACATTCTGATGGGGCCCGACCCTCACAGGAGAGATTCCTCAGAGATTGAGTACTAGTCTAGTGATGGGTTTCCATTGTCGTTATGGATAGTATGTGGTCACCTGACCATCACACCTCCCCACATGGCCAAACGTATGTGGTCACCTGACCATCACACCTCCCTACATGACCAACGTATGTGGTCACCTGACCATCACACCTCCCTACATGACCAACGTATGTGGTCACCTGACCATCACACCTCCCTACATGACCAACGTATGTGGTCACCTGGCCATCGCACCTCCCTACATGACCAAACGTATGTGGTCACCTGGCCATCGCACCTCCCGATATGACCAAACGTATGTGGTCACCTGGCCATCGCACCTCCCTACATGACCAAACGTATGTGGTCACCTGACCATCACACCTCCCGATATGACCAAACGTATGTGGTCACCTGACCGTCACACCTCCCTACATGACCGAACGTATGGGGTCACCCTCCAAACAATGGAGTTCAGGTGTCTCCAGTGAAGGTTCTTCAACATGATACAAAGACATTGTAGACAATTGTCCTCTTCCAGTCTTGTGGTCACAGTTTGGTGAAGACCCTTTTCTGTCCCCCCATGACTGTCCCCTGTGTACAAAGCCAGCTCCATACAGACATAGTGTGACCAGCTTGGTGGAGGAACTCGAGTGTCCTGCACAGAGCCCTGACCCCAACCCTTGTAATACTGTGTTTCTGTTTGTGGCTCCCTGGACAGCAGAGCGGACAGCTGCAGCCAGGTAAGACATCCCCCGAAAATAAGACCCAGTGTCTTTTTTCGTGAAAAAAAATAAATAAGACAGTGTCTTATTTTCGGGGAAACACGGTATAAGCGTGTTTGAGGGATCACGGAGGTGCACACGGCTTCACGTGTACTTCTCTTCTCCTTGTAGGTGATTTCTTGGAGGGGACGGCCGCTGAGAAATGGGATCGGCTGCGAGTCACCTGCGGTCAGCCTTTCAACAAGCAGACACAGTTCGGTTTGTCCTTCTTACGCCTCCGATCTGCTCTGGAAGAAGAGAACCGGACGCCGGCGACCCAACTTTATCAGGTACCCTGACTGGGGTGGAGGGGGAGACTGCAAGAGGAACTGTGTACTATGACCACCTGCTATCCTCTATAGCGCTGACATATACCGCAGTGCTGTACAGAGAACACTGAGCCAATCACATCAGTCTCTGTACAGGGGAGCTTACACTCTAATGTCCCCCTCACAGTCACATCAGTCTCTGTACAGAGGAGCTTACACTCTAATGTCCCCCTCCCAGTCACATCAGTCTCTGTACAGAGGAGCTTACACTCTAATGCCCCCTCCCTCACAGTCACATCAGTCTCTGTACAGAGGAGCTTACACTCTAATGTCCCCTCCCCCCCACAGTCACATCAGTCTCTGTACAGAGGAGCTTACACTCTAATGTCCCCTCCCCCCCACAGTCACATCAGTCTCTGTACAGAGCAGCTTACACTCTAATGTATTATCTGGGTCTCTTTTCAGTCTCCTCCCCTCTCCGGGGTCCCTCCAGGGAAGCTGAAGAAAGAAGACGATGCTTCCAGCCGGTGAGTTGATATCTGGGGAGTAGTTGTCACGTTGTCCTCGGTGTCGGCGGCATTGTGGGGGACTTATAACCCGCGAGGGGGTTCCTCTGACTCGCCCATTTTCTATCCTTATCTGTAGGGATCCATTAGAGGAACGGATAAAGGAGAAGCTGCAGCGGGTCATGTCCCCCCCTTCTCCCCGCACCCCGTGTCTCAGCCGCACAGTCCGCATGGTGCTATCGGCGGCCCAGTCACGTAAACGCAGCCACCCCGCCGCATCGCTACCAAGTCCTCCCATCCCCCTAACGCCAGGAGAGGGCGACAGCCAGCGAGGAGAGAGCCCAGTGTCCTCTGGTGAGTGAAGGTACAGCGGGTGTACAGACCCGGGAACTCAGCACAGGGATGGTGGGAGCTCCCCATAATGGGCACAGCGGGTGTACAGACCCGGACAGTATTCACCAGCGGGTGTCCCCCAGCGCAGCTCAGTAATTAGTCCCCACCTGATGCTGCCTGCTAGGAGACTATTAGGCCTCATTCACACTGGAATCGGCCGGCATCTACACGGCCGTATCGGGAAGGACAGGTGCTGCATGTGATTAGTACGCAGCCCCCGTCCTTCTCTATAGGAATACGCAGCCGTACACCGCTCTACACGTCATCCCGCTGACAGGATGGATCCTGTCTGTGTCCAAGCCGAGACACCCGCACCCGTACGGACCTAGACTTGAGGTGAGCGCAGGGCGTCGTATGGCCGCATACTCCCATAGAGAAGGACAGGAGCTGCGTACTAATCACACACAGCACCCGGGAGCTGCCCGATACGGCCGTTCACGGAGCTGTACATGCCGGCCTTTTCTCGTGTGAATGTACAGAGGAGCTTACACTCTAATGTCCCCTCCCCCACAGTCACATCAGTCTCTGTACAGAGGAGCTTACACTCTAATGTCCCCTCCCCCACAGTCACATCAGTCTCTGTACAGAGGAGCTTACACTCTAATGTCCCCCTCCCCACAGTCACATCAGTCTCTGTACAGAGGAGCTTACACTCTAATG